AGCCAAGCGGCGCCATCAAGCATGTGCGCGGCTTCAATGGGGCGCTGCAGAACGTCCACGGCCGTGGCACCGTCGCCCTATAAGGGGAGGCCGGGAAGCAGGTACTCATCCCCGACGTACTGTATGTCCCGGATGTGCGGGCCAGCCTGCTGTCTTCCGGCCAGCTGAAGGAGCACGGCGTGAAGCTGCAGGAGGACGGAGAGGGAATGATTCTCATCTCTGCAGCCAGAGTGGTGCTTGGTTGGGCGACGTACTCCGGGCGCGTCCTTTGCACCGACCTGCATCCCTGCTCAACGAGGTCGACGTCGCCCACGACGGAGGTTGTGGCTCTGCGGGCGATCGTCTCGAAGACGAAGTCGACGCCGGACCGGATGCATGCGCGGCTTGCACATGTCGGCATGGACACCATACGGAGCTCGGCGAAGAACGAGGTCGCCATTGGGCTGGACGAAGAACGAAGTCGGCGACGGACGCCGACTCACCGTGTGTCTCGTGCATCGGCGGGAAGCTGGCGCGGCACACCTTCCCCGACCAAGGCTCCGACGCCGACGACGTGCTGGCCGTCGTGCACATCGACCTGTGCGGGCCGTTCCGCGTGGCTGCCAAGGATGGCAGCCTGTACTTCTTGTTGCTGAAGGACCGCAAGACCCGCTACGTGTGGGTGAAGCCGGTCACCAAGAAGTCAGATGCGTTGCCGGTGTTCGTGCAGTGGCTGGCGGTGGCTGAGCGGAAGACAAAGAAGTCGGTGTTGATGCTGCGCTCTGACCAGGGAGGGGAGTTCCTCGGGAAGCAGTTCACCGACTTCGTGAACGGCAAGGGGATCGTTCACGACCTGACCTGCCCATACACCCCGCAGCAGAACGGCATGGCGGAGCGGGAGATGAGGACGGTGGTGGAGTCGGTGCGGACAATGCTGCTGCACATGGGCGCGCAGCACCACTGGTGGCACCTCGCTCTCCGGCAGGCCGTCTGGATCCGCAACTGCCTTGAGAGGTCGGCGCTGCCGCCGGGGACAACGCCATACCAGCTGCTGACCGGGAAGAAGCCTGACTTGTCGCTGGCGCGGGTGTGGGGCTGCATGGCGCAGTTCTTAGTCCCCGAGCAGCAGCGTGGTGGGAAGCTGCAGCCGAAGGCCAGGTGGGGCCTGCACCTTGGCGTGTCGGCGGCGAGCAAGGGCTGGGAGCTCCTTGACATCGACACTGACCGGGTGGTCACCACGTCGGACGTGGTGTTCTACGAGGAGATGTCGCTGGCCAAGTGGAAGACGGAGTACGGGTCGGTGTCCGGCCGCTCGTCGCCCACCCCGCCCTCTAACACCTCGTCGGAGACGCTGCCACTGCTTGCCGAGGTCGGTGAGCTTGCTATTGAGGACGTTGAGGACGTCCGCCCCCCTACCTCTCCACCTCCGACCCCTGCCCCTCCCCTCGTGGCCGACCTGCGTGGGCTGACCTCGGTGTCGGCCTCCGGCGATGAGGGGAGTAGTTGGACGTCGCCTTCGGCCAAGTGCATCGCCGGTGGCCGACGTGACGAGCGGCAGGTCGACGTGGGATTGCAGACGACGTCGACAGGGGAGGAGCAGGTTGAGAAGCAGGTCGAGGACCAGCGGCCGACAAAGGAGTAGGCAGTAGTGACGCCGACCAAGGAGCAGTCGGCGACCGGGCAGTTGGCAGGGGAGCCAACCATAGGGGAGAAGTCGACTGGGACGCCGACCACAGGGGAGAAGTCGGCTGGGACGCCGGCTGAGGAGCAGCAGGACGCCGAGGGCAGCGACAACAGCGACGATGGAGGGGACGCCGAGGAGGTCCAGCCAGAACCACGGCGTTCAGACCGACTTCGGAGGCCGCCTGACTTCTTCGTCCCCGCTGCCTTCACCACGGTGTACGACGTGGACAATGAGGCCGACGACCTGCTGTACGACGATGCCAAGGAGGATGAGGAGTTTTCACAACTTGACCCCGACATGCTAGCCGACCCCGAGCACCGTTGGGACATCTCGACGATGACGGTGAAGGAGGCGTTGGCAAGCTGAAAGGGCCCGGCGGTGAAGGCCGCCATGGAGGAGGAGATTCGCAGCCTCCTCAACATGGGAACGTGGGAGCTGGTCGAACGCCTGCCGGGAGTGAACGTCATGAAGAACCGGTGGGTGTTGACAACGAAGTACCACGTCGACGACACCGTCGAGCGCGAGAAGGCGAGGCTGGTCGTGAAGGGCTTCACACAGGTGTACGGCGCCGACTACGACAAGACGTTTTCGCCGGTGGGCAGCTACGTCACGCTGAGGATCTTCCTCAGCATCGTCGCCGTCCTTGACCTTAACCTGATGCAGCTCGACATGAAGAACGCCTTCCTGCAGAGCAAGCTCGATCGGGTGCTGTACATGTCCCAGCTGGACTACTTCAACGACGGATCCAGCCGGAGCGGACCCCCCTTGCCCCCCTTGCCCTTGCCAGAGCGGCGTCTCCCACTAGGGGCAGACGCCGCGCCAACCGACTCGAGACCAAGCAGGTCGGCAGCAGCAGCAGAGGCAACAGAGGGCAGGAGGGGGGAAGGAGAGCACCCCTCAAAGATGGGGGTGCGAGGGTCACCACGAGAAGCTCCTACAGCGACGATGCTCTTCTCCGCCGCGAGGAGGGCCTTCTCGAGGATGTCGACGGTGAGGGTGGTGGGACAGACCGCGAGAAAGTGGTCCCTGACTACGCGAAGAGAGTCAGGGAGGCGCGCGACTACGTAGTAGAGAGTGATGTACATGGGGGGGGGGTTCTTGGCGCAGAACTCAGCAGGAAGGGCAGCGCGGTAGCGAGTGTCACTAGTGCGGAGGTGCGTAATGAGGTCAGCGACAGTGGGAAAGGCAGAGAGGTCAGGAAAGAGGTAGGGAAGCATGAGACGGCTCAGTGCAGCAGTGGCAGGGGAGGAGTAGCGCGCGACTACAGCGTCGTACAAGGTCTGAGCACTCTTGTACTGACTAAAGTGCGCGCGCTCAGAGGTAGGGAGGTGGCGACGCACAGCAAGACGTGCAGCAGCATCGCGGGTGGCCCACTGAGAGCGCACAGTGGGATCAGCATCAGCAGCAGGGGCAGGAGAGGCACCAGAAGTGAGGTCAAAGAGAGAAAGGCCGTCTGCTCTGTCGCACTGTAAGAACAGCTGCAGGTCGTCGACCCAGACCTCAAAGTCAATGGCGCGACCCTCAGCGTCAAAAGCTAGGACACTACGGGTAGCCATGACAGCAGTAGAAGGTCTCACCAGACAGGACGGGTCGGGCAGCGCAGTAGCACAGCAGTACAGCAACACAGCAGCTCAACCGGCTCAGCAGCAACAGCAGCTCCGCAGGAGTAGCGGCTCGGCTCCTCAGGCGGTGCAGGAGGCTCGGGCGGCTCGGGCGGCTCGGGCGGCGAGGGCGGCTCGGGCGGCTCGGGCGGCTCGGGCGGCGCGGGCGGCTCGGGCGGCTCGGGCTGTCAGCGACACAGGGCGGCCCGGGGCTGGGACGGGCGGCGCGCGGGCGATCAGGGGCTGGGACGGGCGGCGCGCGGGCGTCGAGAGGCCGGGACGGGCGGTCAGCTGGCGGCTAGGGGCCGGGGCGGCGGCGAGCGGGTGTCGAGGGGCCGGGACGGGCGGCCAGCGGGCGGCTAGGGGCCGGGACGGGCGGCCAGCGGGCGGCTAGGGGCCGGGACGGGCGGCCAGCAGGCGGCTAGGGGCCGGGACGGGCGGCGCGCGGGCGTCAAGGGGCCGGGACGGGCGGCCAGCGGGCGGCTAGGGGCCGGGACGGGCGGCGCGCGGGCGATCAGGGGCCGGGATGGGCGGCGCGCGGGCGTCGAGAGGCCGGGACGGGCGGCCAGCGGGCGGCTAGGGGCCGGGACGGCGGCGCGCGGGCGTCGAGGGGCCGGGACAGGCGGCCAGCGGGCGGCTAGGGGCCGGGACAGGCGGCGCGCGGGCGGCTAAGGGCCGGGACGGGCGGCGCGTGAGCGGCTAGGGGCCTGAACGGGCGCGCGCGGGCGGCTAAGGGCCTGAACGGGCGGCGCGTGGGCGGCTAGGGGCCGGGACGTGCGGCGCTTGGGCGGCTAGGGGCCTGAACAGGCGCGCGCGGGCGGCTAGGGGCCTGAACGGGCGGCGCATGGGCGGCTAGGGGCCGGAACGGGCGCGCGCGGGTGGCTAGGGGCCGCAGGGCAGGCCGAAAAAAAAAGTGAAAGCGAGGGCCCGGAGCGCGCTCCGGGCGGAAAAAAAAAGTTTAAAGGTGGTGGGCCCTAAGCACAGTTCCCACGGGGGAACCTGCTCGATACCATGTTGATAATAGAACGAGAATGAATGAACTATGAATGAAGTGAGTACAAATAGGAAACCCTAACTGGTTGTACCCCCTATGGGATACCCCACTACAGCCTACACAATAGTATAAGCTATATATATGTTCTGACACAGTGGTGGGAAGGGAATCTCTCTTGTGACAGTGCATGGATCACTGCTGTGACAGGTTGACTCGTTGGAATCTTTATACCGTCATCGCCCGGATATAAGACATATATGTCTTATCTCGTACACGGGCAAAAATGCTTGAGTTATCTTGTAAACGGGATGGTTTAGGGTGTCTTATAAGTCCTATAAATAGAAATAAATTACGTTGACTATAACACTTGCAAAGTGTGTAGAAACCACCCAAAGACCAATTTCATTTAAACAGGCTGACCTCGGTGGTGATGCATGCAGCGCCCACACTTTCCACGTGAGGGAGCTGCCACCGCTGGCAACATTCCTCTGTGCTGGCAGCATCTAATGATGCTGCCAGCGTCGTTTTGCTGCCAGGAGCGCATGGATGCTTCCAGAACGCTGCTGGCAGCACGTTGGCAGCGTGAGGGCTGTCCTCTACGAGGAGATGCCTCGTAGAGGAGCGACTCGGCACCTGTGGATGGGGCACTCTGGCTGGGGGGGGTAGTCGGGCTCTCACTTCATTTCGTGCTCAAGGAGGTTGAATACTCGTCTCAACCTTGCTCTCGGCAGGCTCTCTAACCATGAACAGCAAAGTACCAGTAGGCAAGTCCTCACCTCGTCCTCACGTGCAGGTTAATAACTACGGGCGAATTAACTCGCCCGGCGATGACATCCGTGTAGCCATGGCGAAGTGCGCGAGCAAGGCGGCAAGTCCTACCGCCGCCTCCGGTGCGAGCTGTGACGGGGACGACGGAGACGAAGCGAACGGCGACGACGCCGAGGAGGATTGGCCGGAGAACGGCCACGACGACAACGCTTCAGGCGACGATGTAGGTCCTGCTGACATCGAGGAGGACGACTGGTGGAATCGGCCGGTCGGGAGCGACGACGAGGTGGAAGAGTGGCATGCTGGTGATTCCGACAACGACGGAGGTAAAGATGCGCATGGTAACAACGCGGAGGCAGCGGCGGATGCACAGGAAGCGGCGGTGGATGCGAATGAGGAGGCTGACGACGAGGCGGGGGCGGAACTTGAGACATTTGCGCCTGCGGATGCAGCCGCAGTTGCGGATGCGGAAGGCGAGGAAGGCGGCGACGACGACCCATGGAGCTTTGGGACCGACGACAACGTCCCGCTACTGAAGCGGAGGCTGCACCATCGCCTACAGTCCAAGTCAAAGCGGGCCCGCGTGGTGCTCTCTGACGACGACGGTCCGGGGGAGGAGCGTCGCCCGATACTCACCGCTGCGGAGAAGGGGAAAGCCAAGGTCGCGGAAGCCCCTGTTAAGGCCCCTGCTAAAGCCCCTGCTCGTCGCCGCACAAGCAACAAGAAGCTGACATCCGACGGAGACCCGGGATCCAGCAAGGGTGCGGCTAAGAAGAAGGCGAAGAAGGCGCCGAATCCTGACGACATCGTCGTGAACGAGCCGCTGGGCAGCGACGATGAGTACGCGGCGGCGGCGGGCCCGATTCCCACGTTCCCTGAGAAGGTAACGCCGAGGGACCCCACCCTCCATCATCCCAACACCCGCACACCTTCCCCTCGCAGCAAAGACACTACGAAGAAGCGACGCAGTTGGACCGTGCGTGAGAAGCTTAAGTGGGCGCGCCACTATCAGGAGCTCGGCTCCTTGAAGAAGACGAGCGTGGAGTCAACCGCGTCCATCGCCTGCATCAGACGCTGGTGTGCGGAGGCGGAAGCGGGCGTCTACAAGGGCGCGGCCAACTGCCGCAAGCGGATGCACGGGGGGGGGGGGGCGCCACTCACACTACCCCGACATGGAGGCAGCGTTGTACCGCTACAGCTGCCTTCAGCGAGCTAATGGGGTGGCCATCTCGGTGAAGGACACCCAGAAGTGGAGCCGCGAGTGGATGAAGAAGCATTACCCTGGCAAGAACTGGAACGCGAGCTCTCACTGGAGCCAGCGTTTCCGTGACCGCTGGAACCTGGTGATGCGGGTGAAGACCAAGGCCGGCCAACGTCTGTCGGCAGGTGCGTGTTGAAGGATTTCGTCTGGCGCTCTATTGAATGCATGTACCTCACCCAGTGTCTAACCATCCCGTGCTTCCGTTGCGCTTGTCCCGTTTGCAGAGTGCGCAAAGGACTGCGAGTCCTTCTGGAAGTTTGTGCGCATCAACAGGGCGCGGCACAAAATCGACCTGGCCCACATCATCAACGCGGACCAGACTCCACTATTTGTGGAGATGCCAGCCAAACGGACGATCGAGCACTGTGGCGCGCGCTCGGTCCCAATCCGCACTGCAAGCTACCAGAAGACGCGCTTGACGGTGATGCTCGCGTGCACTGCATCCGGGGAGAAGCTGCGGCCGTGGGTGTGGTTCAAGATGAAGAACGTCCCCAACTGTGAGATTCCGGAAGGTAAGCGAGCGTGAATTCAACCGTGCGACTGCCTGATGAGCGTGCCCCACTGTGCTGATGCCCGTCTGTCCCTTGTGTGCCTGGCAAGAATCGTGGTCCAAGCACAGGACAACGGGTGGATGGACGAGACCGCTGTGCAGACCTGGCTGTCCAAGGAGGTGCTGCCCCATCTGAACCCCCAGCGCGGCCAGAACGCAAGGCGGGCGATGCTGGTGTTGGACTCCTACCGCGGTCACATCACCCAGACCATGCTTCAGTCGTACCGCACGCACAGCATCACCCCTGCAGTCATCCCAGCGGGTTGTACGAGCCAGATTCAACCCCTGGACGTCTCCATCAACCGCAGTGCGAACCCCTCTTGTGATAGGGCGAATGTGGTGAAAAGGGGCGAATGTGGTGTGAAGGGGCGAATGTGGTGTGACGGGGCGAATGTGGTGTGACGGGGTGAATGTAGTATGACAGGGTGAGTGTTGTGTGCCCTTCGAATGGATGCGACAGGCGAGAGAGAAGTTCGACTCAATTTTTTTCCCACGTGCATCTGCACACTCGTAACTCTGTATTGATTGGTCAGACAATGTTTTTGAAAATTTCTGATTCGTCAGACACTCAAAAGCAAAAATTTGATGCATCAGACGGGCCCTTCGGGTTCAGGGTTTAGGGTCCGTCTGATGCATCAGGGGGGTTCAAAACCTAGCGAGGACCCTGCCCTTCATATTCCCTTGTACTCTTATAAAAGCTTGTATCTCTTTGTTTTGATTAATCTACTTTGCCCTCACATACTAGCGCAAGGTGGTTCACAACTCTTCATTAAACGCTTCCGCTATTACATCAGTCCTGCCAGGAGTTTAGTCCTGTAAAGATATTAAGGGCCTTTTCAGCCCAACATGGTATGAGAGCAGCCAGGACAAATTCCACTATCAAGACACCTACAACATCAGAAAGCATGGCTACTCAGAAGGAGAGGAGTTCCTCTAATGGTTCTCCCGGCACTACCCCTACTCCACCTCCTGCCTCTGGCCTACAGACAGAGCAAGGTACGGCGACAAGACCAGCAGCACGGTCCACTGAAACTCCTGCGAATAAGCCTGTAGACTTCAACCAAGACATGATGGAGAAGTTCTTCTCCTTCATGTCCTTCTACGAACAACATCAGCAGTCGGCACCTGCGCAGTCAAACAACAGCAACAACAACAACGACGTGACGCCCATGAGCCTCGACGGCTCATCCTACGCACGTGGAAATCAATAGCACCAACCTACCTTTGCTCCGTACGAGCCCCAGCGTGGCTCCATCAGCTTTATGCCACAACCGCAGCCTGCACCTGGACAAGAGAAGACACTGGACGCACTTCAAGTTCAGTCGCCGTTCGCGCACGTCTTAAAACTGCAAACGTCAAAGCCTTTCGACGGGAAGGAGTTCTTTACCTGGTCGTTCGAATTCGAATTAATGATGGAAGGCGCGCAGATTCTTGGCTTCTTCGACGGGTCCCTGCCATATCCAACACACGGCACACAATACGACAAGCAGCAGTACACGTATCAGTCAATGATGACGTACACAATACTACTGAGAAACATCACTCCAAATCAGCAGCAGAATATACGGTCTTACCGGGGATACGACAACTCTGCAGAGCTCGCGTACAACCACCTGAAGAACCTGTATCAAGCAACAGACAGCGTCAATCAAAGTCGGTTAATGGCGCAACTGACAACAGTCGAAATGAAACCGGGCGAAAAGGGAATGGCATATATCAGCCGTTGTCGCGAATTGCGCGACAAACTCCTTCAGTGCGGAGGGTCGATTTCAGAAGACGCCTTCGTCACGGTCATCATCGGCGGCCTTGGTCCTCAGTGGCGCTTGTCAGAATGAACAAGAGTGATTGCACAAGGAAAGAGTTGCGTACAAGTAGGAAACCCTAAACTTACTGCACCCCATAGTAACTACGCCACTACAGTCTGAACAAACTGTAGTAGACATAACATTTAACACACCCCCACAGGCAAAGTGGGGGAGAGCAAGGGGTCACAAGACCAGTCAAGAAAGGCAAAGCAAGCTCAGGGTGGATCACAACGTCACCACACACTCTGAGCACAAGCAAAGGGCCACAAGGCCAGTCCACATGCAGAGGCATATATGCAACACAAACAGCACAGTGATCTCTGTCAAACATTATATATGTTGTTGTAGTTGTTTAGGCTACAGTGGGTTAGCCTATAGGGGGTACACATTCCTAGGTTTTGATACTTGTACTCATTTTCACTCTTAGTTCATTCATTCTTGTTCAACATGGTATAGAGCAGGTCCTTCCTAGGACCGATTTTTTAGGGCCCACCACTACCTACCTACCTACCTGCGCCCTAGGGCGCCTCGGCTTTCACGCCCCTAGAGGCCCCGTCGGCCCCGCGCTCTCGCACCTAGAGGCCTCGGTCGGCCCCGCGCTCGCTTTTAGAGGCCCCGAATCGGCCCCGCGCTTACCCCTAGAGGCCCGCGTCGGCCCCGCGCTTGTCCTTACCGGCCCCGATCGGCCCCGCGCTCGTCCCTCACGGCCCCGATAGGCCCCGCGCTCGCCCTTAGAGGCCCACGTCGGCCCCGCGCTCGTCCCTTACGGCCCCGATCGGCCCCGCGCTCGTCCCTCACGGCCCCGATAGGCCCCGCGCTCGCCCTTAGCACCCACGTCGGCCCCGCGCTCGCCCTTAGCACCCACGTCGGCCCCGTGCTCGTCCCTCACGGCCCCACCCGCTCCCCGCGCTCGCCCTTAGCGACCCCGAACGGCCCCACCCAGACCGAGCAGCCCGGACCGAGCCGACCCGAGCCGCCCAGCCCTAACGGAACCGAGCCGCCCGACCCGAGCCGCCAGCCCTAACCGACCCGAGCCGCCCGAACCGAGCCGCGCCGCCCGACCCGAGCCGCCCGAACCGAGCCGCGCCGCCCGACCCGAGCCGCGCCGCCCGACCCGAACCGAGCCGCGCCGCCCGACCCGAGCCGCGCCGCCCTACCTGTACCGAGCCGCGCCGCCCTACCTACCCTACTGCTCCTACTGCTTTTCCTACTGCTGCTACCATGGCTAGCCCTCCTGTCCTAGCCTTCGATACTGAGGGCCGCCCAGTGAAGTTCGACACCTGGCTTGATGACCTACACCTCTTCCTACAGCTCACTGCCAAGGATGACATCTCGCTGTACGATCATGCCTTAGGCCACGCTACTGCTCCTGCTGCTACTGCTGACAGCACTGCCCGCTCACAGTGGCAGACTCGTGACGCCCATACTCGCTTCGCTATTCGCAACTCTCTGCCGATAGATGAGCGCGAGCACTTTGGGCAGCACAAGACTGCACAGGCACTGTACACTGCTGTCGTTGCCCGCTACTCCTCGCCGGCCTCTGCCGCTCTAGGCCGTCTCTCTCTTCCCTACCTGTTCCTCGACCTAGCTTCCTTCCACACTGTCGCTGATCTCATTACCCACCTCCGCACTAGTGAGGCTCGCTTCCGCGCCGCTATGCCAGATGAGTTCCTTGCCAAGAACCCACCCCCGCTCTGGCTCACTCTCTACCACCTAGTCACGCGCCTCCCTGACACTCTGCGCTCAGTCAGGGACCACTTCCTAGCTCGCTGCCCCACCGAGCTCACCATTGCCCTCCTCGAGAAGGAACTGCTTGCAGCTGAGGCTAGCATAGTCGCTGTAGGTGCCTCTCGTGGTGACCCCCGTACCCCGTTCTTTGAGGGGTGTTCTCCCTCCCCCCTTCTTCCCTCTGACGCCTCTGCTGCTGCTGTCGACCTCCTTGGTGCTGAGAAGGTCGGGACTGCGTCTGCTTCGAGTGGGCGCCGCAGCGGCAAGGGCAAGGGGGGCAAGGGCGGTGGTGGTGACAGCGGGGGTGGCGGTGGTGGGGGAGGTGGTGGTGGCGGGGGGGGTGGCGCGGGTGGGGGAGGTGGTAGCAGTGGGGGGGGTGGCGGCAGCGGCGGGGGAGGTGGCCGGGGCGGAGGAGGTGGTGGGGGTGGCGGTGGACGAGGCAGCGGCCGGGGTTGGGGTGGTCGAGGAGGTGGTAGCGGCGGTGGTGGTCGTGGAGGCGCTGGCGGTGGCCAGGGCCAGCAGCACACTCCGTCGCCCCAGGAGGTCCGTGAGTGGTACTCTCAGCACGGGGGGGGGGGGGGGGGGGGGTGGCCTTAGCTGCACGTATGTCATTCGCACTGGTGACCGCACTGGCCAGCCGTGTGGGGGACCGCACGCCACACAGCGTTGCTTCGCTCGTCTGAACGACGTTTGGCGTGTTCAGTTCCCTCAGGACACTGAGCTGCCCCGCTGGGTTGATCTCCTGAAGAAGGGGATTGATATTTATGCTCTAGACTTTGATGCTATTTTCACTGCCATGTATGTGATGTCTACAAGTGGAGAGGGTGCTGAGTACCTGAGTGTCCCGCCCGACCCGGGCATTAGGACTAGTGCGTCTGCCGCTCCAGGTACTCGCGTGTCCGCTACCCCAGGTGCTGGTGAGGCTGCTGCTCTAGGTGCGTGTACGTCTGCCCCCCCTAGTACTGTGTCGACTGCAGCACTGCACACCTTCACACTGGATTCAGGTGCCTCTCGCTGTTTCTTTCGTGACCGCACTGCCCTTGAGCCCCTTGCTCGGCCAGTTGCTGTCTCCCTCGCTGACCCCTCTGGGGGTCCGGTCCTTGCGACCTCCTCCACTGTCCTTCCCTGTCCTGCGGTCCCGTCGGGCACACTGTCAGGTCTCCACCTCCCCTCGTTCTCTACGAACTTGGTGGCAGGTTGTGCACTACAGGACGCGGGTGTTCACCAGTTCACCCCTGCCTACGAGCGTGTCACACACTGCACGTGTGCCCGTACAGGCCACCACTTGGCTACCTTCACCCGGCAGCCGGGGTCGGATCTGTACACACTGACTACTGCCCCCCCTCAGGTCGCTGCGTCTGCGTCTGCGTCCGCGTCAGGTCAGCTGTCCGCCCCCTGCTCGTGTCACTCTCTAGCGCACGAGACTGTCCTCTGGCACCACCGGCTGGGCCACCCGTCTGTGCAGCGCCTTCGTGCCATGCACTCCCGGTACCTTGTCTCTGGTCTTCCCAGGGTCCTCCCTCCCCTCCCACCCTCGCCTGCTCCTCCCTGTCTTCCCTGTGTCGAAGGGCGGCAGCGCGCCGCTCCTCACTCCTCCTCGTTTCCCCCGACGACTGCTCCTTTGCAGACGCTCCACATGGACGTGTGGGGCCCAGCCCGCGTCCGTGGTCAGGGTCAGGAGAGGTACTTCCTGATCGTTGTTGACGACTACTCACGCTACACCACGGTCTTCCCCTTGCGAGCCAAGGGTGAGGTCCCTGATGTTTTGATCCCTTGGATCCGCAGAGCTCGTCTCCAGCTCAGCGAGCGTTTCCGCTCGGACTTTCCTGTCCTGCGCTTGCACTCTAACAGAGGTGGTGAGTTCTTCTC